GAGCTGGAGGTTCTAGTGGTTCTGGGGGTGCTGTTGCTACTGGAGCCGGAGGCACTGGTTCTGGGGGTGTTGTTGCTACTGGAGCGGGAGGTTCTAGGGGTGCGGCTACTCAGCTGCAGCTGTCTGTGCTTGGTCACCTTCTCAGTCTCCCACCTGCTGCTACTGAGTTCCCGGTTCCTGGTACTACTCCTCCGTTACTGTTCCCACCGGCTGACCAGTCTCAGCCACAGCTACTGCCTGGCTCCCCGCTGCCTGCTCCTGCTCCTCACACTGAGGTCACTGCGTCCCTGACTGCGCGTCGTGAGCCTGAGACTCGAGCGTCCACTCCTGAGCGTTGTGAGCCTGAGACTCGTGCTTCCACCCCTGTTCGCGGTAGTCGTGTTGTCCGTCCTCGTGCTCCCGCTGTGCCAGGCACTCACCGTATGGCACTTCGTCCTTCCTCTGTTCCTCAGCGTGTTGTCCTGCCTTCTCCTCCTGCGTCCTCTCTTCCTCACGTTCCTGACCCTGAGTCAGACCTTGTTCGTGCTGCCAGTCCGACTGTCACTCGTCTCCTTGCCACAGTTGTGACTGACCCTTCCTTTGAGTCTGCTGCTGCGTCTGCCTTAGTCACTGAGCTTGTTGACTTTGCCGCTTTGTGCCGCCTTGACTACGCTGCGAGTCTTGTCTTTGACTCTTCCTGTCCTCCGTCCGTTGGGGGTGAGCTTGCCCTTGGCTGTGACGTTCTTGAGGACAGGCAGTTTGAGCTGGAGTATCTCGCGGCCACTGCACCGCATCTCGCGTCCTCGCTACTTTGCCCTGAGGGAGACCCGGATGCACCAGACATCCCGACCCCACGCACTTACGCAGAGGCGATTACGGGTCCTTACTACTCTCTGTGACAGATAGCCATGGACGCAGAGATGGCTTCCTGGAAGTCCACAGGCACCTACGTCGACGAGGTTCCCCCACCTGGGGCGAACATAGTCGATGGCATGTGGATTTTCAGGGTGAACCGGCCGCCGGGTTCTCCGCCTGTCTTCAAGGCGCGTTACGTTGCTCGAGGTTTAAGTCAGCGTGCGGGGGTCGACTTCTTTCAGACCTTCTCCCCTACCCCGAAGATGACCACTCTTCGGGTGCTACTGCACGTTGCAGCACAGCGTGACTACGAGTTGCACTCCCTCGACTTCTCGACAGCCTTCTTGCAGGGTAGCCTTCACAAGGCTATCTGGTTGCGCCGTCCACGTGGCTTCACTGGGTCTTATCCTGAGGGTACCCAGTGGAGTCTTCGGCGACCAGTCTACGGCCTCCGACAGGCACCCCGCGAGTGGCACGACACACTGAGGACTACGCTTGCGGCTCTTGGCTTCGCTCCCTCGACTGCTGACCCTTCGCTGTTTCTGCGCACAGACACTTCTCTGCCGCCGTTCTACGTTCTTGTGTACGTTGACGACTTGGTTTTTGCTACTGCTGACACTGAGGCTCTGACCTTGGTGAAGGCGGAGCTGCAGGAGAGACACACTTGCACTGACCTGGGTGAGCTGCGGAGCTACCTTGGCTTGCAGATCACCCGGGACAAAGCACGCCGCACCATCACCCTCACTCAGTCACACATGGTGCAGCAGGTCCTTCAGCGCTTCGACTTCACGTGGTCCTCGCCACAGCCCACTCCTCTGTCTACCGGCCACTCGCTCTCAGCTCCACCTTCGGACGAGTCCGTAGAGCCGAGTGGTCCGTACCCAGAGCTTGTGGGTTGCCTCATGTACCTGATGACGTGCACACGACCTGACCTCGCATACCCTTTCAGCCTCCTGGCTCGCTACGTGGCTCCCGGTAGGCATCGAAAGATGCACTGGGATGCTGCAAAGAGTGTATTGCGTTACTTGTGCAGCACATCGGGCATGGGGCTTGTGCTTGAAGGACGGGGTCCAGTTGTTCTCATCGGTCACTCAGACGCTTCTTGGGCTGACGACCAGACGACTCACCGGTCGACACAGGGGTACATTTTCAGCCTCGGCACTGGTTCTGTCTCGTGGAGGTCCTCTCGCTCTTCCTCTGTACTTAGTTCCAGCTGTGAGGCCGAGATCTACGCTGGGGCTATGGCTGCACAGGAGCTCCGGTGGCTGACCTACGGGTGAGCAGCCTCGTTCTCCTCCAGTTCTGTACGTCGACAACAAGGCCATGATTGCCTTGTATCAGGACCAGAGACTGGAGCACAACACGAAGCACATTGCTCTCCGTTACTTCCTCACGCGAGATCTGCAGCAGCGTGGTCAGCTTCGTCTTGCTTACGTGGCCACTCGGGCCAACACTGCTGATGTTTTCACCAAGGCCCTTGGGTCTAGTGATCATCAGCGTTTCTGCACTGCTCTTGGGCTTGTGCCCACTCTGCCTCACTTGCTTGTCTCTTGATCTTGCTCTTGTTGTACACTGATATACATAAGTATACCTGCATGCTTACACTTGCTAGGTTGTGATCAGTGTACCGCTCTTCGCTATTATAAACTCTGCATGTGAACTGGCCTTGTGGCCGCTTGCTTGTGCTCAGAATGCGTGGTGACCTTGTGATCCACCCTGAGCTTTGCTTTGCCTTGCTTCTTCTCTTGACTGGTCTTGTGACCCCTTGTTGTCCCCCACTTTGCCTATGGGGGTGTGTCAAAACATGTTTATATCATGTTAGTGATGTTAGGCTGTAGTGGGTTACTCCTTATGGGGTACAACCCTTTGTTAGGGTTTGTTACGAGTGCAATTGAGTGAACGAGCGAGAATTGCACTATCGAAGCAAGAGTCCAATGAGCGAAGGCATGAGCGAATAATATATAGCGAAACTACAGTGGTAACGGTAAAGTGGGAAATTGAGGTGCGCTACGGGCCTAGCGCCGAGGTTTGGAGAATTGTCGAGGCGGAGGTCCGGAGCGCGGGTTACCGACCGAACCGTTAGGTTGGGTCGCGTCGTGAACAGTGGCGGGAGTCGTGGTCGAGGCGAGTGTCGTGAACGGGTAACGTGCATGGATGGGTGCTGATGGTGGGAACGGTTATGTACGCGGTAAGCAGGGACGCGAAGTAAGGAAAAGGAATTTTCCTTACAGGGTTGCTACTTGTACCGTACCATTCATCCTGTTTAATCCATCATTCATTGTTTCCTTATTCTGACAGTCTTGACTGGTCTTGTGACCGTTTGTCTGCCTTGCTTGTTTTGATGCCCCTCACTTATGGGGGTGTGTCAAATGTTGATATTTGTGATAGGCTGTAGTGAGGTGCTCCTTAGTGAGTACAAACATGTTAGGGTTTTCTATTTGTACCCCAACTCCTTTCTAGTCAATCATTCCGTTGTGTTCAGATTCTGAGACTCCGAGCCTGATATCAGGTACCCTGATAACAGGCCCGTAGGAACACGCTCTTAGAAAGCGTGAACGAGCAGACGAGACGCAAGGATCTGTTGGAATGGAACATGCTTCGACTAGTAGGCCCAATAAATAACTTTCAAACAGATTTGTGACATCCGGTAACTACGGTAACCATCTGCCAAATCTCCCTCTGCTTCAAAACATGCTGATTAGTTTCTCTTGCACCTCGAGTTCCAGAAGTGTGTTGATGCAGTGTCTCGGTGCTGGGATAGACTGCTGTAAGTGACTGCTGGGAGCAGCAGCAGCACCAGAAAAACCAGCTGAAGTAGCAACAAGAGCAGAGATTGAAGAAGCAGCATTGGCAGCAGCCCTTGAAGCAGCACTCAGAAGCTCATGCAGTTTAAGCCTGGTCTGGCAAGGCTGGAACTGCTGCTGCTCCTGCTGTTCTTGCTGCTGGTGCATCTGGTGCTGCTGCTGCTGTTGCTCCTAATGTTGGTGCTGGTGCTGGTGCTGCTCCCAGTGCTTGTGCTGCTAATGCTGCTGGTGTCGGTGCTAGTGGCGGTGGTGCTGGTGCTGTTGCTGGTGCTGGTGGTGCTGCTACGGCAGCAGATTGGTTGAACATCGTTCGTTGAGACAGTTGCAAAAAAGCAGCAGCTGCTGACGTGGCAGCCTGCAGAATTGGTCGAATATCCTGAGCTGACGCAGCAGCTCGAAGCAACGGGCTTATATCCTGTGCTGACGTGGCAGCACGAAGCAATGGGCTTATATCCTGCACTGATGTGGCAGCATATGATGACGGGCTTGACTCCTGCACTGATGTGGCAGTTGCTGATTGGACAGGGCGTGATTTGTGACAGTGGCATTGGCAGCAGCATCCTGTGGAGGCGCCTGTTTGGCCGGTGAGCGGTGGTGCTGGATTCGGAGGGGGATGGTGGGGTGATGAGTGGTGGAGGTGGTTGTGGTGAGGTTGTGTGGGAGGAGACTGAAGAGTATTTTGGGGAGGATAATTGGGAGGATAATGGGGAGAATCACGCTGCTGCAGTTGCACACGAGGTGTGTGCTGCTGCTGCAGTTGTTGCTGTAGCTGCTGCTGCTGCTGCTGCTGTTGCTGTTGCTGTTGCTGTTGCTGTTGCTGTTGCTGTTGCTGTTGCTGTTGTTGTTGCGGTTGCTGCTGCTGCTGCTGCTGCTGCTGGTGGTAGTGCTGTTGTGGTGGGTGCTGGTGCTGCTGGTGGCCCTGCTGCTGATACGTTATGGGTGGTTGTTGCATGCTCCCTGCTGCTGGTGAGGGTGGTGCTATCGCAGAGATGCGGGTTTTACCTGCTGCTGAAGCCACCACTGGGAACGTAGATGCTGCAGGGGGTGCCGCTAGTGCTGATGCTGGCGCTGCTGGTGATGTTGCATATGGCGCAGGTGATGCTGACAGTTGCTTTGCTTCTGCTGATGGTGCTGCCGATGCTGCTGCTGATGCTCCTGTTGCTGGTGTTGATGCCATTGCTGCTGCGTGGCCTGCTGATAAAGACCCGGCAGGCCGACGCTGTAATGGAAACGAGTTTGCTTGTAGTGAAGATGCCACTAACGGGGATGATGGCAGCAGTGGCGTTGGGGATGCTGCAGGGTTTGCTGATGTCAAGTTGAAACCCGCAGGGGGGTGTGAATGAAACCCTGGCGGCGGCCGTTTCATTGGTGTCCGAGTGGGGTCAGGGAGATGTAATAGCAGTGAAGGGCTGGGGCACACAGACGCGGCAGCTCCTGGTGCTCTGTTACAAGGCACTTCACTTGGAGTAGCTGAACCAGTAACATGTATCCGGGTTGATGTAGACGGGAGTGTACTTGGAGAAATCATTCCCTTGCTTGAACCACTTCTTGCCACGGTGACAGGGAGATTGGTGCCTGGTGCTGTCGCTGCACTGCCTGCTACATTGCATGCTACAGTACCAGCTGCAGTGCCGACTGCAGTGTTAGGTGCAGTAATAGCTTGTTGTCTATCCATGGCGGAAGCGGGAGTAACAAGGCAGAGAGAGCTTGCAGGCGCCTCCTGATTGAGCATCCACTCTATCATATCCTCCTCTCCACCCTTCTTCTCATTTTCCTCCCCCCCAACTTTTCCCTCCCCCTCGCCCCTCCCACTCACCACCACTCCCCTCTCCCCCACTCCTGCAGTGTCCCCTTCCTCAATAGCAGCAATCGCGGCTCTATTCGCTGTTACTGTAGTCGCGGTTACTGTAGTTGCTGTTACTGTAGCCGAATCCGAACCCCAACCGCCCGTGTAGCTGCCTCCTCCCTCCCCCATCCCCGAAAACGCTCCCCCGGTACCCTCCCCTAGGGCACTCCAAAACATTTCGTCGTCTGCTCCCATCCAATCGTTGAGAACGTTTGGAGGGCAGCTTTGGTTGCTCCGACGCCCACCACGGGCAGCAAAGAGGAGATCAATTTCCCCCAAGCCAATCATATCTTTCTGAGCTTCAAGTTTTGCAGCGTGCGCTGGGGGTTGCTCCTGCAGTAATTGTTGCTGCCCCGATTGATTATGTTGCCCCGGTTGATTTTGCTGCCCCAATTGATGCTGCTGCCCTAGCCGTATTTGCTGCTGTTGATGCTCCTGCTTTTTGTGTTTCAACCCTCCCTCCGTATCTTGCTCCCCCACTCGAAGCACCTTCCCTCCCTCCCCCCCAGTCAATATCTCTCTGCCTGCCTCCGCTTTGCAATCCGAGTCGGTCGTCATAGGAACATCCGCTGAGACGTTCCCCCGTAACTCCGCCTCCTCCGCCGAGACATTTCCCCCTCCCCCCATGGTTTCGCCAATGCCCCTGCCAATCTCCTCCCCCGCGCTGCCGCCGCAGCTAACCCCCGCGCTTGCCCCCCCAACACTCACTTTCCTCCGCCGCGACCTCAAGCCCCTGAACGGCCTGCAAAGTTCCGACGTGGCGCTCTGTAAGCTTGCCACGTGTTTCGCCGCGCCTTCCCTAATAAGCCTCATCGTCTCGATCCCGAGAGCAATCTGCAGCCGTCGATCGACTTTTCCACCGTTTTTCGCCAAGACCTCCGCGAATTGCGCCGCGTATTCACGACTCCCTTCGAAGTTCACTCTCGCGCGTGATCCGCGAATCGCGAGCGCCGCCGCGTCGTACGCGAAAGCCGCTTCGTCCTCCGTCGCGTACGTCCCTAACCACACGCGCGCGCTCTTCGCGGAGTCTCGAATCTCCGCCGCCCACTTCCCCCACGGGCGCTGGCGCACCCCCCGGTAGTGCAGGTAGGGGGAAGCGGAAGCCAAAGAGAGTTCGGACGGCGAGGGGAAGGGGAGCGACGACGAGGATGGGAGCGAGAGTGGGGAGGGCGGGGGGAGAGAGGAGGAGGGAAGAGAGATGGAGGGGAGAGTGGAAGGGGGAAGGGAGAGTGGGGAGGAAGCGGAGAGTGGTCGGGGGGACGCGAAGGGGAGGGAGAGCGGGGATGGCGGGGGGAGGGAGAGCGGCGCGAAAGTTGCGGAGGAGGAAAGACCGACTCGAGAGCCTGTCCCCGTCTGTCGTGGGGTGGATGGATCGGAAAATGACACGTGTCGTTCCGTAACAGGTTTCGAGTCGCCAATGATAGGTTTTGAGCCAGAGAGACCGCGGCTCGACTCCGCAACCGGCACCCTCTCCCCCAGGCTTGAACCGCCTCTGGCGCCGTGAACGACGCCGTCAACAGCGCTGCTACAAGTTACGGCATTACTGTCAACGTCCGCTGCTAGATTCGGCGACTCGTCCGTGCTACCCCTCGTTTGCGGAACACCCTGCGACTCCCCTGCGACTTCGTGCGACCAGGCTGCGACGCCAGGAACGTAGACATCGGCGGACATGCTTTCGCAAGGCTCTCTAACTGACGGGAGCGCAAATTCCGGGATACTCTCAGGTAGCAACGCGGCCCCGCAGCCGTCAAACGCGTCGGTGCTAAACGGCAGCATCTCGGCCAGCGGGTCAAGCGACTGCTGTCGCTCGCAAAGAACCGCATCCCCTTCGCGCTCGTCGCCCATCACGTCGCTCATCACGTCGCCAAGAGTCGCCGCAGGGCGTTCGGCGTCGCATCGCATCCATTCGGGAGAGACCATAGCACCGTCAAAAGGGCCTACTAAGCTGGTCGCACCATTACTAGTAGTACCCTCAGGACCGTCGCCGAAGGCGGGTGACGACAGGAAGAGCTCTGAAGCGGAGAGCATTCCATCGTTGGAATAAAACAACGGGCTTTCGTCGTCTCGATACTCCATGGCCGCTGATCGCGGAAAAGTTGATCTGTAAGTCTCACGCCGCCTGCTTTTTCGAGGTACGAACACCGTCCTGGCTACGAATACGAGAATACGTGAGTATGCGGTGATCAGCTTCACTTATGATATGACCCGTCTGAAGCAACTCGCCCGTGTGCCGCGAAGCAGCCACGCGGCACGGAAGCAACACTGGTTGTACTCTCGATACAGTAACACCCTTACTAGGACCACTGAAGGTACCAGCGAATAGTTGAACCGATTGGACGCCGAAGCATGGGCGATGCGGTGGTAATGGCGATCGTGCGGAACCGCGAGGCGGTAGTGATAAGTAATGGATCTCGAATTCCGGCGCATCTCTACTTCTTTACGAATGTCGCGACCAGAGCAAGTGTTCTTGCCGATAGGCGAGGTACAAGCGCGGGAGATTCAAGGCTAGCGCATGCTTCGGACGATGGAGAACGCATTGGAAACGCAAGTTGCATCGGTCAGGGCTGCAAGGGAGGAACCATGCTTGTTCGGCGGATGCGGCGCTGTAGGGAGACAGCAATCGGATTCGCCCGTTTCGGCTGGTCAGGGCAGCCAAACTGGGAGCGGCCTGTGACGTTGCGTGGAGTGGCATCACGAGTGTGAGGAGCGATTAGCGGGAAAGACGGTACTGTAATTCGGTGGGTACGTGGTCAAAGGAAATACACGAGGAAGGTCCGTTGTTTCGGCAAGAATCAGCAGCAAATGAGCAACAGAGTTGAGTAGAGCTGGAAGCCAGAGGGACACAGCTGGAGTTGTGGAGCGGGGCAGGGGGGGGCGTGTTGACGGGGGGTGGAAGGAAAAAGGAGAGAGCTGATGCAGTTGAGCTGGGCTGTGAGATGGGAAGGAAGGGAACGACACAAACGTGCGCTGGGCATACGGGTTCGACCGCGCCGCAGGAAAAGGATGAACGAAGTGCAACTTTGACATGCTAGGATTTCCCAAATAAAACGCCATTTGAAGTGACACATGGACTGCTTCGACAGACCACGGTCAGATGGAACTTTGCTGAACCGCAAGTCGCAGGCACAAGGGTGGCGGTACGTTGGAGGAACACTGTAGCTGAGCGCCTCGTCGTTTGATGACTTCGCTTGGCCTTGGGCAATTTCCATTGGACGAGTGCCCCGAAATTCTGAAGTACGGCTGCGATATTGTTGTGGCAGGTGGCGGAAGGGGGGGAGGGGAGGGGAGGGCCGAGAATGCGCAGCTGGGAAGAGCACCCCCTCTGAGGCCGAGAATGCGCAGCTGGGAAGAGCACCCCCACCCCACTCTCCCCACAACTTCGCAAAAACCCTTTCGCAAAACCTTCGATCACCAGTTCGCCACGTTCACAGGCATTCACAGGCATGTCGTGGAACCGTCAGAAATCGGAACGAATGTCGGTGATGGCGGCTTTATCCGGTGAGGTGATAAGTAAAGGCTTCCGTACACTCCTATTGGTCGCACAAAGGGCTCTTGATGTGGGTATCTGTGCCATCCCCACGTGGCTCCACTTCAAATATGCTACCGTTACGTTATGACTGCGGATGTATTACATTCTATGATGTATTTCATCCACCAAATGATTGTACTTACTGAATATACTATATATTATGACCACTTTTGTATGTAAATGCATATGCTTAAGCATTCCTTGTTATGAAACATAAAACAACCCAAAAAACATGTCAAAAAACCCACACAATCACCTCTGAAGCCATGCGGCCACTTTTACGGTTAGTTTCTTTTGTTTAAATTATGGCAGTGGGGTGGCGTGTACTGTAATTGATGATTGATGCTAAATAAATAAATAAAAAATCACACAATCATCAAAGCGCACTCCAGAGGGAAAATGAGCTGAACATGAAAGTGGAATGAACGTGCATAAAGTGGAAATGAGCGCTGAAGAAGATGTAGCGTTCTGGAACGAACGGGAAAGGGACCTCGAATTGTCGCAACAATATTAACGAGGATCTGGCATTGTCTTTATTTTCTAGATTCCAGTTTCTTGTAGGACAATACCTAGGATCCGAAGTAACTGTACCTAGGTGACTAGGTCCTGTGCTCCAGTCTACTGGGATTTATAACTGTCGCACATCGCTGGAAGATTCGTATGCCAGCATTCGCCTCGTCTTCTCTCCTGTGAATTTCGCCGAAGTTTGAGTCGAATCAGAACCATTCACCGCATTGCCAAGGTCTATTCTCCAGTCTAGTTCTCCGACGCACTGTCCATGGCTGCTGTGACCGACCCTGCGGTATTCACGAAGCTCGCGGAAGATAAGGCGTTGGAAACGAATGGTCTCGGAAGTTCAGCCGGGAATGGCGGGACATCTGACATGCCGGCCGTCAGCTCAGGGGATGTAGTCACAGGAGGATCGTCGGATTCCATCCCCGCTGCTTCTAACGAAGCGTACGAATCCTGTTAACGAAGCGTACACGATAGGATCCACGAACGAAGCGTACGACTTGATGCCAAAGACTAGTTACCCTCCCTGCCAGCATACTCGGTTCCGAGCTTCATGTTCTAATATTAAGCCACTGCACCTCTTTCCCTAATTGAATTCGTGATCTGACACCGAATCATATCGAGCTCTCACTCCCGGCAATCGCTCCCCATGATCCGTCCCCTATCCGTCCCCTCCCGTCCCTTATCCGTCCATACCTCTTTTGCGACTGGCTCCTTCCGCAGAAGCACGGGAGACGCGGTCCCGTCAAAGGCAAACGTAGAGACGAATGCCGCTGCGACGGAAGCAGCAGCAGCAGCAGCAGGCGGGGGTGGAGCGGGAGGGGGAACAGAAGGAGACAGCAGGCCGGCAGGGGAAGCCAGTTCGGATAAGAACGCCGATCCGACTGAAGGAGCCAATCAGGCGGAGGAGGGGACTCCGCGCGGGGATGGCGGCGAGGGGGCGGGGGGGGCCGGGGGGCATACGATGATCGGCGGGAGCATCGTGGGGGACGTGCTGTACAGCATCGCTACGGGCGAGGAGGAAGGGCGCTCGCGCGCTCGCATCCTCGCATTTGCCGCGAAACGGTACGCGGGAGAGAGGGAGAGGGGGGTGAGAGAGGAGGTTGAGATAGGGGAAGGCCGAGAGAGGAAGGGTTGAGAAAGGAGAATCGATTCCACAAGCATCCCCACTCAAGTGCCACATCCCCACCCACCTATCGACCACACACACCCCCACACGCACGTTTCACTCCCACTCACGCTTGTCGCCCGCAGGTACCAGACAGCAGTGGAGCGCAATCCGCGTGACTATGATGCACTCTCCAACTGAGCGCTGGTGCTGCAGGGGATTGGAGTGAGAACAAGCTTGTACCCCCACACCCACCCACCCGTCCCCCCACAGGTATCAGACGGCAGTGGAGCGCAACCCGCGGGACTACGATGCACTCTACAACTGGGCGCTGGTACAACAAGGCACACACACACCTACATATCACACTCTCGCCCCGCCCCTCCACAGATACCAAACGGCTGTCGAGCGCAACCCGCGGGACTATGATGCGCTCTACAACCGGGCGCTAGCGCTGCAGGAGAGTGGAGAGAGAAACCACCACCACACATGTCCCACCCATCGCCCTGCACATGTCACCTGCAGGTATCAGACGGCTGTCGAGCGCAATCCGCGGGACTATGATGCGCTCTACAACTGGGCGCTAGTGCTGCAGGAGAGTGCGGACAACAGCGGGCCCGAGGCGGGGCTGCAGGGGAAGGACGCTCTTCTGGAAGAGGCGTGCCGCAAGTACCAGGCCGCTAGTGTGCTGTGTGGCACGCTGCATGAGGTGAGAGGGGGGGAGGGCGTGAGTGCAACAGGGCGTGTAGGGGCGCTGGTACTGCAGGAGAGCGCGGCCAAGAGCAGGCCCAGGGAAGGGCAGGGCTGCAGGGGAAGGCCGCTCTTCTGGAAGAGGCGTGCCGCAAGTACCAGGCCGCCAGCGTGCTGTGTGGCACGCTGCATGAGGTTAGTGGAACACAGAGGAAAGCAAACACAAAGGAAAGGCAAACAGAGTGCTGTAGGGAATCAGTGCAGCAGGGCGTGTGAGGGTCGCTCTGCTGGAAGAGGCATGCCGCAAGTACCAGGCCGCTAGTGTGCTGTGTGGCACGCTGCATGAGGTGAGGGAGGGAGAGAGGTGAGGCAGACAGAGGGAAGGCAGACAGAGGGAAGGCAGACAGAGGGAAGGCAGACAGAGGGATGCACGAGGTGAGGCAAACAGAGGGGCGTTGCCATTCCCGACTGGGCATTCTCCTCCTGTTTCCACCCCCGCCTTTCACGCCCTTCCTCCTTCCTCCCTTGTCCCTTCCATTCGCGTTCGCCAGGCGTTTTACAACTGGGCCATTGCCATTTCCGACCGAGCCAAGATCCGAGGCAGGACTGCCGAAGCTGAGGACCTCTGGAAGCAGGTACGGCGATAGGCATGGTAGGGAAGCATGGGGAGGACGAGGGTGGTAGCAATGAGGTGCAGCAATATTTCGTGCAATGACTAGGCATACCGTGCAGTGCAGTGCAGTGCAGTGCGGTGCAGCGCAGTGCTGTGCACGGAACAGGACAAAGTTCAAGCTGCAGGATGAGGCAAAGGCGGTGGGTGACACGCTCATCCCAACTCCAACCCCAAGAACGGTACAGACTGTTGGGATAGGCAGAATCGGTATTCAGAAACAGTGGGCAGAAAGGTGCAGATGCTTTTGGAATGCTGTTGGCGTGGTGGGATGCAGATGCATTTGGCACCTCAAGTGGGTGCCAGCACAAATGCTGTAGTGCAGTACAGACACCCACTTGTATTAATTCCACCACTAAGATGATAAGATTGTCAACCCCCCCCACTCCCTCCACTCCCTTGTGATAAAAAGTGGATTTGTGAGACGTTTAAAAAATCCACAAGTGGGTGCCAGCACAAATGCTGTAGTGCAGACACCCACTTGTATTAATTCCACCACCAAGATCGTCAACCCCCCTAACTCTCTCTCCACTCTCACCCCACCAGGCGTGCAGCAAGTACGAGAGGGCAGTGCAGCTGAATTGGGACTCGCCTCAGGCGCTCAACAACTGGGGGCTGGCGCTGCAGGAGGAGACCAGCACGCATGCTCCCAACCCACTCCCTCTGAGCTCGTGCACCTCTCTCAACCCCTCTCCCTTCCCTCCACTCCCCCATGACCAGGCGTGCAGCAAGTGCGAGCGTACGCTTCCATCCCTCTCCCACTGAGCTCGTACACCCCTCCCAACTCCTCCAACACCCCCCACCACCAGGCGTGCAGCAAGTACGAGAGGGCAGTACAGCTCAACTGGGACTCGCCTCAGGCGCTCAACAACTGGGGGCTGGCGCTGCAGGAGCTGAGCACCATCGTGCCGGCTAAGGACAAGAGGAAGGTGGTGCGCAAGGCAATCAACAAGGTGAGGGATGAGAGTTGAGGAGGTGAGCTGATCTGGTTGATAGCACACCATCCTTGGCGCTGCAGGAGCTGAGCACCATTGTGCTGGCCGGGGACAAAAGGAAGGTGGTGCGCAAGGCGATTAACAAGGTGAGGGGTGAGGGTTCAACCATAAGACCATGCCTCATCTCCTGCATGCATAAGACCATGCCTCATCTCCTGCATGCATGCATTTGTGCGCCTCTTCCATTAATTATCATTCCCACACTCTCCAATTCTCCCACTTCGCCATTCATCACCTCCCATCTACCACCCCCGCCAGTTCCGAGCAGCCATCCGCCTGCGCTACGACTTCCACTGTTATTGCATGTGTGCGCCTCTTCCATTCTGCTATGCCCCCCTGTTCTCCCTCCTCCCCCTCCTGCTACTGCCACCCCCACCAGTTCCGAGCAGCCATCCGCCTGCGCTACGACTTCCACCGAGCCATCTACAACCTTGGCACTGTGCTGGTATGTGCTGTGCGGTGCTGGTACGTGCTGAGATGTGCTGGTATGTGCTGTGCTGTGCTGTGCTGGTACGTTCTTTGCAATGCTGGTATGTGCTGAGCTGTTATGTGCTATACTGGCATGTGCTGGTATGCTATACAGTGCTAAAATCCTCTCCTATCTCCTATTTTTTTCTCGGAAGCACTGAGATATCTCTTGCTTCCCCTAACCTAATTGACTTTTGAGTCGACTCAAAAGTCAACTCGGTATAATGTCACACGGTACTTTTTCTACACGCAGGGCAATTCTCGCTTGGAGTTTACCAAAACGAGTTGGTAATTTTTTAATTTCAGCTCATAAGTGCTAGTTTACTGTAGACTTGTTTTCTACTGTTTTCATCTAGCTTTCCCCCACCTTCCCTGGCCACGCGGAGGAATGCCTCGCGATTGAGCCCTTGGGGTTGGTATTTAGCCTGCTTGCTTCTCATTTCTGAACTTTGTGGTCTGAAGAAGGCTCGAAGAGCCGAAACTAGTACCGCCAACTTTTCGTTTTCACAAGGTTTTTACAAGCAAGCACAAAACCAAACTAAACAACAGTTTGCTAAACACAGCTGCTGCCACGCTACGCCATGCCTTCTACGTGGGGATCCATAAGCACTGAGATATCTCTTGCTTCCCCTAACCTAATCCATCTCCCCCTTCCTCCACCTTACCCTTAATACCTGTCCTCCCCTCCCTACCCTCCCGTCCCCTCTTAAGATCCCCTCTCCTCCCTTCCCCTTCAGTACGGCTTGGCAGAGGACACAATGAAGCAGGCGAAGAGCAAGACGGGGGTCATGCCGGACCGCACCACCCACCCTATGCTATGTTGCCACCCACCCTCGTTGCTTTCACCCCCTCCCCTCCCCTCTTCCCCCCGTCGTCTCTGCTTCAGTACGGCTTGGCAGAGGACACAATGAAGCAGGCGAAGAGCAAGACGGGGGTCATGCCCGACCACACCACCCACCCTATGCTATGTTGCCACCCACCCTCGTTGCTTTCACCCCCTCCCCTCCCCTCTTCCCCCCGTCGTCTCTGCTTCAGTACGGCTTGGCAGAGGACACAATGAAGCAGGCGAAGAGCAAGACGGGGGTCATGCCCGACCGCACCACCCACCCTATGCTATGTTGCCACCCACCCTCGTTGCTTTCACCCCCTCCCCTCCCCTCTTCCCCCCGTCGTCTCTGCTTCAGTACGGCTTGGCAGAGGACACAATGAAGCAGGCGAAGAGCAAGACGGGGGTCATGCCGGACCGCACCACCCACCCTATGCTATGTTGCCACCCACCCTCGTTGCTTTCACCCCCTCCCCTCCCCTCTTCCCCCCGTCGTCTCTGCTTCAGTACGGCTTGGCAGAGGACACAATGAAGCAGGCGAAGAGCAAGACGGGGGTCATGCCCGACCGCACCACCCACCCTATGCTATGTTGCCACCCACCCTCGTTGCTTTCACCCCCTCCCCTCCCCTCTTCCCCCCGTCGTCTCTGCTTCAGTACGGCTTGGCAGAGGACACAATGAAGCAGGCGAAGAGCAAGACGGGGGTCATGCCCGACCGCACCACCCACCCTATGCTATGTTGCCACCCACCCTCGTTGCTTTCACCCCCTCCCCTCCCCTCTTCCCCCCGTCGTCTCTGCTTCAGTACGGCTTGGCAGAGGACACAATGAAGCAGGCGAAGAGCAAGACGGGGGTCATGCCGGACCGCACCACCCACCCTATGCTATGTTGCCACCCACCCTCGTTGCTTTCACCCCCTCCCCTCCCCTCTTCCCCCCGTCGTCTCTGCTTCAGTACGGCTTGGCAGAGGACACAATGAAGCAGGCGAAGAGCAAGACGGGGGTCATGCCCGACCGCACCACCCACCCTATGCTATGTTGCCACCCACCCTCGTTGCTTTCACCCCCTCCCCTCCCCTCTTCCCCCCGTCGTCTCTGCTTCAGTACGGCTTGGCAGAGGACACAATGAAGCAGGCGAAGAGCAAGACGGGGGTCATGCCCGACCGCACCACCCACCCTATGCTATGTTGCCACCCACCCTCGTTGCTTTCACCCCCTCCCCTCCCCTCTTCCCCCCGTTGTCTCTGCTTCAGTACGGGTTGGCAGAGGACACAATGAAGCAGGCGAAGAGCAAGACGGGGGTCATGCCCGACCGCACCACCCACCCTATGCTATGTTGCCACCCACCCTCGTTGCTTTCACCCCCTCCCCTCCCCTCTTCCCCCCGTCGTCTCTGCTTCAGTACGGCTTGGCAGAGGACACAATGAAGCAGGCGAAGAGCAAGACGGGGGTCATGCCCGACCGCACCACCCACCCTATGCTATGTTGCCACCCACCCTCGTTGCTTTCACCCCCTCCCCTCCCCTCTTCCCCCCGTCGTCTCTGCTTCAGTACGGCTTGGCAGAGGACACAATGAAGCAGGCGAAGAGCAAGACGGGGGTCATGCCCGACCGCACCACCCACCCTATGCTATGTTGCCACCCACCCTCGTTGCTTTCACCCCCTCCCCTCCCCTCTTCCCCCCGTCGTCTCTGCTTCAGTACGGCTTGGCAGAGGACACAATGAAGCAGGCGAAGAGCAAGACGGGGGTCATGCCCGACCGCACCACCCACCCTATGCTATGTTGCCACCCACCCTCGTTGCTTTCACCCCCTCCCCTCCCCTCTTCCCCCCGTCGTCTCTGCTTCAGTACGGCTTGGCAGAGGACACAATGAAGCAGGCGAAGAGCAAGACGGGGGTCATGCCCGACCGCACCACCCACCCTATGCTATGTTGCCACCCACCCTCGTTGCTTTCACCCCCTCCCCTCCCCTCTTCCCCCCGTCGTCTCTGCTTCAGTACGGCTTGGCAGAGGACACAATGAAGCAGGCGAAGAGCAAGACGGGGGTCATGCCCGACCGCACCACCCACCCTATGCTATGTTGCCACCCACCCTCGTTGCTTTCACCCCCTCCCCTCCCCTCTTCCCCCCGTCGTCTCTGCTTCAGTACGGCTTGGCAGAGGACACAATGAAGCAGGCGAAGAGCAAGACGGGGGTCATGCCCGACCGCACCACCCACCCTATGCTATGTTGCCACCCACCCTCGTTGCTTTCACCCCCTCCCCTCCCCTCTTCCCCCCGTCGTCTCTGCTTCAGTACGGCTTGGCAGAGGACACAATGAAGCAGGCGAAGAGCAAGACGGGGGTCATGCCCGACCGCACCACCCACCCTATGCTATGTTGCCACCCACCCTCGTTGCTTTCACCCCCTCCCCTCCCCTCTTCCCCCCGTCGTCTCTGCTTCAGTACGGCTTGGCAGAGGACACAATGAAGCAGGCGAAGAGCAAGACGGGGGTCATGCCCGACCGCACCACCCACCCTATGCTATGTTGCCACCCACCCTCGTTGCTTTCACCCCCTCCCCTCCCCTCTTCCCCCCGTCGTCTCTGCTTCAGTACGGCTTGGCAGAGGACACAATGAAGCAGGCGAAGAGCAAGACGGGGGTCATGCCCGACCGCACCACCCACCCTATGCTATGTTGCCACCCACCCTCGTTGCTTTCACCCCCTCCCCTCCCCTCTTCCCCCCGTTGTCTCTGCTTCAGTACGGGTTGGCAGAGGACACAATGAAGCAGGCGAAGAGCAAGACGGGGGTCATGCCCGACCGCACCACCCACCCTATGCTATGTTGCCACCCACCCTCGTTGCTTTCACCCCCTCCCCTCCCCTCTTCCCCCCGTCGTCTCTGCTTCAGTACGGCTTGGCAGAGGACACAATGAAGCAGGCGAAGAGCAAGACGGGGGTCATGCCGGACCGCACCACCCACCCTATGCTATGTTGCCACCCACCCTCGTTGCTTTCACCCCCTCCCCTCCCCTCTTCCCCCCGTCGTCTCTGCTTCAGTACGGCTTGGCAGAGGACACAATGAAGCAGGCGAAGAGCAAGACGGGGGTCATGCCCGACCGCACCACCCACCCTATGCTATGTTGCCACCCACCCTCGTTGCTTTCACCCCCTCCCCTCCCCTCTTCCCCCCGTCGTCTCTGCTTCAGTACGGCTTGGCAGAGGACACAATGAAGCAGGCGAAGAGCAAGACGGGGGTCATGCCCGACCGCACCACCCACCCTATGCTATGTTGCCACCCACCCTCGTTGCTTTCACCCCCTCCCCTCCCCTCTTCCCCCCGTCATCTCTGCTTCAGTACGGCTTGGCAGAGGACACAATGAAGCAGGCGAAGAGCAAGACGGGGGTCATGCCCGACCGCACCACCCACCCTATGCTATGTTGCCACCCACCCTCGTTGCTTTCACCCCCTCCCCTCCCCTCTTCCCCCCGTCGTCTCTGCTTCAGTACGGCTTGGCAGAGGACACAATGAAGCAGGCGAAGAGCAAGACGGGGGTCATGCCCGACCGCACCACCCACCCTATGCTATGTTGCCACCCACCCTCGTTGCTTTCACCCCCTCCCCTCCCCTCTTCCCCCCGTCGTCTCTGCTTCAGTACGGCTTGGCAGAGGACACAATGAAGCAGGCGAAGAGCAAGACGGGGGTCATGCCCGACCGCACCACCCACCCTATGCTATGTTGCCACCCACCCTCGTTGCTTTCACCCCCTCCCCTCCCCTCTTCCCCCCGTCGTCTCTGCTTCAGTACGGCTTGGCAGAGGACACAATGAAGCAGGCGAAGAGCAAGACGGGGGTCATGCCGGACCGCACCACCCACCCTATGCTATGTTGCCACCCACCCTCGTTGCTTTCACCCCCTCCCCTCCCCTCTTCCCCCCGTCGTCTCTGCTTCAGTACGGCTTGGCAGAGGACACAATGAAGCAGGCGAAGAGCAAGACGGGGGTCATGCCCGACCGCACCACCCACCCTATGCTATGTTGCCACCCACCCTCGTTGCTTTCACCCCCTCCCCTCCCCTCTTCCCCCCGTCGTCTCTGCTTCAGTACGGCTTGGCAGAGGACACAATGAAGCAGGCGAAGAGCAAGACGGGGGTCATGCCCGACCGCACCAC